CAAATTCATTTTGAAGATGTCCTGCGTAAAAGGAATATTCAAATCTAAATAATTCCCTATTGTTTACTTCTACTATAGTTGTTATTTACATGGATCCTAACATTCGAATTTCTCCTACCCACTTGAATTTGAAAATATCTAATCATCTACTTCAACAAAACTTAGGTGACCAAAGTGGAATGTCAAAGCTAGCTTCTAATATCCCGGACAACTACATTGACCTTATCAACAAGGGAAAGTTCTTCACATTCAAAAAAATTTTATGCGGCAAAGCCCTTCAAAAAGACCAAAGCAATACTTGAAAGTTCAAGGGATCAAAAGCCATGTACCAGAAGTCAAACTGGCTAAAATTAGATCTAATTCAAGCCTTTAGGCCAATCTACAGTCATGGCAGAAATTCTTTTTGATTCATCTGAATTATTTTATTTAGAGTTACCATTCTTTGATTAAAATAGGTTCAAATTTAAAGTGTGTTAGACTGGATGAGAAAAGATTGCATTTAAATGTTAAACAGTATCTTTCTAGACCTAAACTCATAAAAATGATTCAATGTTAAACAATTGAAATTATTCATTAATGATTGAATGAATAAACATTCATAAGCAATTGACTGATCCTCATATCCAAATTGTGTGCGTTAATCACTTCAAACAACATGCAAGCAGTATCCTTCTAAATTTTGCTATCAATAACTCATCAAGCATCAAACTTAACCAAGCTAGAATTTGTACTACAGTAATAACAGCTTAAGGTAAGATCAATGTGATTAAAAATTAACAAGATTTTATAGTGATCTATATTTTTATCATAAAAAGAAAAAAAACATTTCTTAATTCACTATTAATATTTATTAGTTACCATAAAGGATATTAATATTTTTTATTTATCATCCATAACAGGTTCATTAGTCTAGTTCTTTATATGTGCATGCACATATGAGTTTGTGAATGCATGTTCTCAAGCGGATGCTCCGAGATGAATAACATATAAACAATATGTATAGAATATTCTTGATAAAAAAATACCTTCCCCATATGACTACCTCTAATATTTAGGAATAGTCAACTAAAAGGATGCTTAAAAAAAGTGGAAGAATAGTTAATAATAGAACAACCAAAAACATAAATGGAATTTCCACGCACTTTGCTTCATATACTACCGGATAAGATTTTGATTCATGGTATTTGAGAAAGGTGTGGCTTTATTCGCATACCAAAAGAATATCACATTAGCAAATAGTTGAATCCGTGATTGCTGCATTGTTTATGTTTAAACATAACTAAATACAAGAATGTTTTAGGGAAGACTGCCGGTGTATGAAAAAAACATTTGAGTCACGCAAAGACTCTAAAAGGATAACTTAAAAATCAGTTAGAGTTCATAACAAAAGATTTCTAATGTAAAAATATGTTTGCCCATAGACAATGTTAATACATGATACAAATCCGAGCCAAAATCAGCCAATAAATTACAAGAAAAATATGAGAAAATCCTATTTAGGGCTAATTTGATTAATCTCCAAGCAAACAAATAAGATACAATGAGTGATCTACAATTTGAGAGGTAGATTGACTCTCACAAAACCTAGCCCTAACACCTACAACCCTAACCCTAATACTCAAAATCACAATCACATGCATAAGCCTAACCCTAAACATTTAGCCCTATTTAACAAAAGACTGAATTATCCTTTAAGCCTTGCACCTAAAATAAGTTTTCAGATTATTTGGTGGGCTCGACGTGGAAGAAAGTGTTGTCGGTGTTGGCATAATATTACAATCCCTCAATTAAGACACATTGTCCTCAAGGTGAAAAAGAAATTAAACTGTTATTGGATCAATTCATATGGCTTTCCTGTGGCGTCATCACCTGGTAATCATTCCCATTTAATCAAAAATTAATAGTGACCCTCATAAGTTCGAAATATCGCATTGTGCACATCCTTCAACCACATCTGAATCTGATGGCGTTCTGACTTCAAATAAAACTTGGATAATACTGCAACCCAAAATAACTCATCCAATACCTCATCGATCATTGGAATCTCTACCAACTCCTTATCATGTGTCTCTTACATGTTATGCAGCATGATCAAGAATCACAACCCTGTGTCCTAAATTACCCTCACTGTAGTCTTGAGCGTTACTAAAAACATGCATAAACTGGGGTCACTATAAAGCACCGCCATCCTATCACCTTCTTGAATATTCTATAGTATCAAAATCACTTCCTTACAAACCCCTGTTTTTCTCCACCTGTCTCTTTCTCATCCATACTCTTGAATTGCCTTCTGCCCGGAAGATCGCAAAAACAAAAGGCACCAGCGTAATTGGATGTAGCCCCCTATCGAGATCCCACACACCATGATTCTTTGTTCCAAGCTGAAATCTTTCGAATTGATCTTCTCCACTCCTAAATCGAACGTCGACCCATTCTGCGTATTGGCACTCTTACCAAATCTAGATCCTATTCCTTCGCTCAATCCCGCTTACTTATGTTCATTTCAGTCGTTCGGATGTTGCATTATTCCTTGCACGTGATGTCGCCTGAATTTGCTTGTGACTTCTTAGCTCAATCCTGCTTGTTTCCATTTGTTCCAGGCATTTGGATGTTGTGAAACTACTTCCAAGTGATGTCTCTTGAGTACGCTCCTAATTCCTTAGCTCGATCTCGCGGCCCCAAATCTGCCTAAGGCAACCACGCTACCCATATGTCACATAAATATGTTCTCAATGTCGTCGCTCCATCTCGTGGTGGCAGTTGCGATTTTGCGTGAAACTCCATAATCTTCATCATTATTTCTTTTAATGTTGTAAATCTCCTCTCCATGAACGAAAACCGTCCCTCCATAGACAAAAAAAGCTCCTCCATTTCAGATCTGATATGACTCAACTCTTTCTCTACTTTCATCTCTAGAGCATCTATTTTTGTTTTTTCATTACACCCAGGATGGTTTCGATCACGAAAACATAATTCCTGTAAACCATGATCCCGTCGATGGCTTCCCCGCTATCTAAAATCACAATTGTATAATGCGGTCAGTGGCTTCCCATCTGTCTCAAATCTCGACCTGATCATCATGATCCCATTGTGGCTTCTGTATTGCATCACGATGCTTCCCAGCTAGCTATAGTCATTTTGTGATGCTTCCCATCCATCTCTAATCGCAACTGTATCACCGCATGATTGGTCACGTCAGCTAAGACCCCATCTGCTTCGTCAGCTATCTCGATCAAGAATATCGCAATCTGAATCACATCGTGACGGCGACCCAAGAGACTTATATGCTACAATCCATTATGTAGGTCGTGATCCTTCTTTGCTTCAATCGAAGAGTGGCAATTACTGAAGCCTTGTGCACGACGATCCTTAAACACAAATTAAGGAAAACGAGCACACGCCCTGTAATTGGCGTTCATTCCTAAAATCAAATGTTTTGATACCAATTTGATAAGAATCAAAGTCAAAATAAGAAAACAAATTGCAAGAAATAAGTGAGAAAATCCTAATTAAGGCTAATTTGATTAATTTCCAAGATGGGTGATCCACAATTCAAAAGGTAGATCAACCTCCAAAACCCTAACCCTAACACCCACAATTTGAGATAGGTGATCTCTCCTGAAACTCTAACACTAATATTCAAGACAACAATCTCATGTATAACCCTATTTTTAAACAAATTAGCCCTATTTATCCCCTACAATAGTAAACAAGAAAAAACTAAATTTCCCTTTTTGTTTTGAGTCTAAAATAAGTTTTCAAATTGTTTGGCGAACTCGGCAAGGCGGAAAGCCCATTGGTGCCAACGTAAAATTACCATGATGTGGAAAGCGACAACGTATTGGAGTTGGGAGCCATTCAAGAATTAGGGGAGGAGATAAGATATTAGAAAAGATGATCAACAAAACTCAAGTATAATAAGAAAAGTATAGTATAAGGAATTATATTTCTAGTTGTAAATGCAAAAAAGTGTGCTAAAGTAAGAAAAACAAGTCATGCAGTTCTTTTAGGTTTTATTTGAATTTTAATAGGTTTTAAATTTTAGGTGAGGGTGTGCTCGCACATAGAAGAAGAAATAAACACCTACCGCAGCTATTGGATGGTGCCCAACACAATTAGCAGGAAAACAAGTTTAAAAAAAAAACATCGAAACCTCTATCTGCTTATTCAACAATCTTGTTTTAGGATATTATTCTGAGAGAGAGGAAAACTGCAGCAAACTCTCACCTTTACTGGATATAGCAACTTTATATTTTCTTTTCAAGGCATTTACATACATAACACTAAATTCTTATGTATTTACAAATCTAACACCTAAAATTTATTTTCTTTACATTTATACTACCCAAATCATTAATATCACATCAAAAATAACATCATTTTAACTTTTAAAAAGTCAAATATACATTTTTTATATATAGCTAAGATGGCATGTAGGTAAAAACAGAAGCTTAGATGTTAGATATTTAAATGTATAACAATTGAGTGGTATGTATGTAAATCTTCCTTCCTTTTTTGTGTACTTATTGAAATCAAAAAAAAAATTATCATACAAATACAAGTAGGGCATGTTTTACAAACATTCTACCTAAATCATGCTACAATAGAGGCGTTTAAAGAGCGTCAAAAGCATACATTCGGAGTAGGCTAACATTGAAAGAGATTCCCCACATAAAACGATGCTCTATGCTGCAAAGTAATAGATGATAACATCATTCATCGCCTAATTGTGCATTTTCTGTCAACGCTAAAAATATTTAAAAAGAATTAATCATAATGTTTAACGAATTGTAATAGTTTAGTTCCATAGAAGACTCGTTACTAAACATTTCCAACAACTATTTTGTGCTTATTCTTGCGGTTCACAAAAGAAAGTATAGCATATTTTTTAATACATTTATAGATTAAAGTAAAAGGAAAAGATGCAAAATAGCTGGAACTTTGCACTTGATTAATGCCTAGTAGTAATTAAATGTTACAAGCAAGATTCTACCACTTACTTCCCCTCATAGACTTTTCCATGAGCACCTTCACCAATCTTGGATCCTATATAAAGCTTCTTCGGATCAATCAAAAGCTTTTTATCAATCTCCAAGTTCTCAAGTGGAATAGTACAGTTGCTGTCAAAGGACGGCCTGCCAGGATGGACAGAATCTGTTGCTTTTTTTGGTCCAGAATTCATAAACTTCGTTTTTTCGATTCCATCATTTTGATCATCTCTGTCGTAACTCATCTCTTACCAAAATCAGAAAAAGAAATACCCCCACTTTAGAGTCCTCTGAAACCCATACTGCAATCAGAACAACATGTTTCATAAAACAGTAAAACAAATCGTTTGAAAGGCACAAAGTTCAAAACATCAATAAAACTTAAATTAACAACTCCAAGTATCTCCTAAATGCGTTAATTAGCGGGGCTAAACATATTTTTTTGTTATAAAAAACCAAAGACCCATCGCGTTGCATTTTACCCAAACCAGAAGTATATTTCCTCTACTTTCAGCAAAAAGCCAAAAAGATTCCATCAGAAAATCTACTGCTCCATGAAATTACTTCTACTCCCAAAATATCTCGCCTCCTCGGAATCTCCAATAGAAAAGATATTGTTGACAACATCTCAGACATCATCCAGAGAGCCAAGAATCACAAAACTCACGGTTATCGACGAGGTAAAGTAATAAGTTAAAAGTTTAAGAAATATAAGCCACCTGAGCTCGGATAAGCTTCCTCCCTGCTCCATAATTTTCCTTCAACTAACTTTCTTCTCCACAAAGCTGCAGTAAAACCCTAACCCTAATCTCAATCATTTTTTTCGTTCCATCCCTGATCTTCTCTCTCCCTCTCTCCTTCTCTCTCTAACCGAGAAAGCAGAGGCGTCACCGTAAAGATATTCCGAGCATCATAACTGCAGCGGCAGCCACGCTTTTATAGTGGAGAAAAAAAAAGTTTGGCTTTTCGTAGAAACATCCAAGCCAATAGGATGGGTGCACGTGTTCCGAGGATGGCTGCCAAAGCAGTGGGGAGTGTGATGAACGCCAAAATTCGAAGCTCCCCACCCCTTGCCTCACCTGCAGAATGCTGCCGACCATTGACCTAGGCGCAATTCCTTCCAACGACCGCGCTGCCCCCGGAGGCTTCGAGGCAGTAACTTCACCTTTTTTACTTTTCTATCTCCACTAAATTATTAAACTTTTTTGATAGAATTTTGAAATGATAAAATAATCAAAATAGGCAATGGAGATTAGCATTCAAAACACCCAAAATTCTTTATATTATCAATTTCACACACAAATTTACATATTTATATTTAAAACACCTAAAACATTATATATGATAAAAAGTAATTCTTCCTCTTAAAAATATTAATGGCGGTACGCACTTTCAGCTCATCTACCATTGTTTCCGGTGAACTGAGATGCTCACAAAAGGGAGTGCTCACAAAAGGGAGGGAGAGAGGGAGGGAGGGAGGGAGGGAGAATGCTCACAAAAGGGAGGGAGGGAGGGAGGGAGAACCGGAGGAGAGGGGGAAGTGAGAGAGGAAGGTAAGGGAGGTGCTTGTTTAAGCAGAATTCATGCATGATTTAACCTAAATCCTACCAAGTAGCAAAAAATAACGATCTTAATGATACTAGTTTTACTATCGAAAGATATTAGTTTTAGATGTTTTTGAACGCAGCGATCTAGAGTTTGAAGCCTTTATATGTCACGAATGGGGCAGAAAGACAAGGGTTGCCTTCTTCAATGGCTTCAGGTGGGAGCTCAAGGAGAGAGATGGGAGTTTCAATGTGCTTTGTACTCTGCAAATCCCCCTTAAAAATAATAAGATATCCTCTAATAATAAATGTGACAGATTTTACTATCGAAAAATTAAACTTGCACTATTTTAAAAAAAAATAAGTTGATTGTCAATAATGTTGCTCTTAGTGTAATTTATAACTCTCCAAGCTATACACATCTATTGGTGCATAATTTTTCAATAAAATAATTAGCTACTTAAAATTGAATGATATTACATCCATGGTCCTTATAATAAAAATTCCATTAAGATTTCTTTTAATGGTAAAAAACCCATAAAATACATGTTCAGTAGATGGATCCTCTCAAGTGATTTCATTGACTTGTTATGATTCTCATAATAAACACGAGAAAACTATTATAAAGTCGTAGGAGGGACAACTTTGCTAGAGATTTTGAGTTTTGGTTAGCCTTAAACTTGATAGCCAGATTAGTTTGATAGAATTTTATCACATAAAAGAATGAAACATAGCCAGATGGATACTTGATTTTGAGAATTAATTTTTATGAGGATTTGCACTTTAATATAACTTTGGAACCTTATGGTTAAACAATGATATATGAGAATTGTTGACCTCATTTTTTAGTCAACTTTTTCCTTAGCTAATATACAATCTCATTGGGGCTAGAACCTCCCTTCTAATGTCATTTGATGATTGAATTAAGCTCAAATAAGCTATAACTTGAACTTTACTTGAGCTGAAACTTGGGCTAAACCCTATTTTAAAATCTAACAAAATAAAATTGAAATCAACCAAATCAAACCATAACCTAATATAACTAACTTTAGCCAAACCCTAAAATTGACCTAAAAAATTAACTTTAACCAAAACCAACATGCACATCAAAATTATCGCTTTCTCTACAAATTATTATATATTTTGAAAATTCATTCTGAAATTTTAATGATGTTTATTATCATATATAAAGACCATGCAAACAAGTTTCATGATTATATAATGCATTGTTACATAATAATTATCACATCAATTTTTCATGTATGAATAGTGCTCCAAATACATGTAATCATCATTTTCTCTACATACCAATCTGATAATAAGAATTTCATTTTGTAAGTACCATGATGTTCACAATGAAAATTTAGAAGTATGGAAACCAGTTTGACCATGATTGGATAAACATTTCATATAAAATTTCATATTTTAAATTTTCATGCTAGAAAAATGATCGTATATAAAAATTCCAAAAAAAAACATTATTTTTCAAAACAAACTATACAATTGTGTTGGATCATCAAAATCTTTCAAATGAACTCTTGTGTGACCAAATTTGACTCTGTTTGGGGGCTTATTAAGCCTATGATAGTTTGGACGATAACTTCTATGATAAAAAGAATAATTCTAATAATTCACATAAAATGGCCTCAAATCAAAATTAAATTTTAATTAAAATACATATGCTCTAAAATTTTTTTATTTTATTGGATCAAGTTGTTCATTTTTTAATTTAGATCATTTTTGCTAAAGTTTGATTTAATTTTGAGCTCATTTGAGTCACTAGTTTGTAAATTATCCTTTTACTAGCAAATTTATTATTTTTCTCTCTCAAAATTATCATCACCTCAATGAGACTCCAAATGGATTTGGAGTTAGGTGCGGAGGAGACATGAAGGTGAAGTCCGCTTTGAAAAATAATGACTCGTTGAAAATTTTCTTATGTACGACCATTTCTCATGTATGAAAACTTTAAGTGTATAATTTTACATAAAAATGGTATTTGATGACCACCAAACTAGTTTACATGCTTCTCATTAGTGATTATGAAGATTATATTACTAACTGAATGTAATTTGGATCACTAGTAAGCATTATTCATGCGTAGAAAGGTGAACTGAAGGATATTACAAAAAAATCATTTCAAATAGTTGTTGAACTTAATTATATGGTCTTTATAAATGACAATAAACATTGGTTGAAATTCATTTTGAAGGTTAAAAATTCATTGGTTTGAAGGTTTGAAATTCATTAGTTTGGTGGTTTCAATATTCATTTGTTTGAGGGTATGAAATTCATTAATTTGGGGTTTGAAATTTATTAGTTTGAGGATTTTAAATTTCATTTGTTCGAGTAAACCTGAATAACTTAAGATGAAAACTGTGGGGAATTACATCCAACCTAAGAGGTGAATAAGGTGATAAGATCTGGAAATAAACTCATATAAATTTACATCTAAACTGAGATCTAATTATAAGGGAAGTTTTGATCTGATAAACCTGAAAATCTCAGGATGAAAAGCACGAGTCACATTTAAACAAAGAAGTGAACATGATAACTAAAAAGGGATAGATAGATTGTGTTGAGTCATATCTAAGATAAAAGCTAATTGAAACTTGGTGGTTATCCGGGACAGTGGGTCACCAAGGGGTCTCTTGCATGTATCCAATGACTAATACCAGTGCGTAGTGGTTTTTCTCTATAGTAAATTTACATAGCATAAGCATTGACCGACTAAATCAAATGTGGTGAAATAAGATTATAGAGTCAGAAGGGAGAGGAACATAATTCTCATTTATATGGATTTTAATAGCTTAACCAAGAAAGGTTCTTTAGAGGCTGGTCCTACAACTTACTTTTTATCATTATTATGTTGAATCTGGTACTTCAACAAAGCAATGAACCCAGGAAAATTTTGGGATTGTGCCACAAAGAGGTTTGCTCCACTACCAAGGAAACAAATAGATCCAAGACATTTAGTTCACACTAAACACATACACTACACTCTTAAATCTCCTATAATTATGACTGAGACTTATAATAATGTGTCGATGTTACACTAGATCCCCAACCAAGACATCAGTATTTATTAACTTATAATAGTGCGCCGATGTTACACCAAAGCCCCAACCAAGACATCAATATTTATTAAGGCTGATTTAGTTGACAAACTAACGAACCTAAAAAAGGAAAAGATATTCAATGTTCCTCAGTTTACACTGAATAAGGTTCTATTAGAGAACATATCCTTAGTCAAAACTACTAAAACAAAGTAATAACCTACACAACTAGGAGTGATTGGCTCAAGATTAATGAAATTGATCTCATCATTATGGTATCCAAACGGGTGTCATTTTATTTTTGAGAATTTGTCAATTGCTTTTTGAAAATAATTATAATTATATATATAATTTGATTTTGAAAAATAGTATTTTTATTTTTTTAAAGAAATGAGACTGGATGGATATTTGAGCATAAAACTATAACTAATACGCTACACCGAGAGATAAGCATATCACTTCTTAGTAGGCTCAGCCATTTAAACTAAGAAATTTATTACTCACATTTGGTCAGTGAAAATTGTGATTGACAATTCCCCTATCTAATAAGAAGATTAGATAGTGAGTAGTGGTTTTGCTCTGCAGTAGATTTACATAGCATAATTGACCTACTAAATCAAATGTGGTGAAATAAGATTATAGAGTCAGAAGGCAGAAGAACATAATTCTTATTTGTATGGGTTTTAAAAGCTTAACCAGGAAAGGTTCCTTAGAGGCTGGTCCTACAACTTACTTTTTATCATTATTATGTTAAATCTGGTATTTCAACAAAGCAATGAAGCCAGAAAAATTTTGGGATTATGCCACAAAAGAGGTTTGCTCCTCTACTAAGGAAACAAATAGGTCTAAGACATTTAGTTTACACTAAACACATACACTGCACTCTTAAATCTCTGGTAATTATGACTGAGACTTATAATAGTGTGTTGATGTTACACTAGAGCCCTGACAGCAACTTTATATATGCTTAAAAATATAAGTATTTACTATTGCTGCTAAAAGATTTAATTCCTCAACAACAGCACCAAAAACAACAACGGTTATAGTTTCGATAAAGATGCATCTATAAAATATTCAATAATGGTAAAATCACACTTATCAACGCAAGTATATGTATCGCTCAAGTAGTATAGGGCTCTAATGGAGTCCTAGATATCGATCCCACTGGGAGTAATATTAGAAGCTACGAACTAAGATTTTAGAAAAGCAATACTCAATCGCAACAATGGAATTCAAATTGCTTATATGTCACTAATAGGCAATTGAAATAAATATGTAATTTTAATAACTCTTAAATAACTAATTATACTAATAAAGGTTTTAATGTGATATTCAATATATAAGAAATCATCCTTCTCCTTGTCAAGAAATTATAGTGAATGGATAAA